TTGTTCAGATTTGCATCGTTTTTGGTTCAAGGGGAAAAACTTTTCATCTTTCTTTTGTTTCTTTTCTGTCATGCAAGAAATCAACTCTTAATATCATATTTTTGGTTATATGTGGAATAGTTTCCCTACATAGAGGAAAGAAGTATATATAAGTATATATATATATATAAATCTATCAGCAGCAGAGGCTGCTGGTTTACCACGGGGTACTGGACTGTGACCTGTCAGAAGCTATAATCATATTTCTGTTCTGATGGGGAAACTCAAAGATCACGCAATCTAACATTCTCTTTTTTTCTATCATTTCTGTTGGGGGAGTGGTTTCAGGGGAGGGACAAAGAAAGTTTTAATTCCTCATTGGTTCGTCTGATCAAGAAAATTAAAAAAAATCCCTCATCGCTTTCTTTCATCAGAGACACAGTGACGTTCTTCACTACTTTATAGTTGTTTTCTTTCATGCTTCTCATGGTGTTTCTGAGAACCCCCCCACCCCCCACCCCAACCCCGCGTACCGCCCCCCACCCCCTGCCCCGAGAAATCCTCTAACTCTCCTCTGTCCGTCATGGAGAGAAATATTCCATCTGCTTCATGATAATATTAAATATTATTATTTATATACATTTACAAAGAAATCATTCATCAGTAACGGTTCATTTTACAGGCTGCAATTTCATCTCCATCAGGTTTCCTGGATACAACTTTACAATTATTAATAATTAATTCATTACTGTACTCAGTAGTTTTTGAGGTACTTGTACTTTTGTAATTTCTACGTCAGCTCCACTAAACATCTGAGGAAACACATACATTAGTTTTAAGTCTGTTGTCTTTGTTGTACTTTAGTTAATGAGTTCAGGATCTCTGAACTTCCTCCGCTGGCTGTTTGCTGCTAATTAAAGGGAAAATAACGAATTTAATTCTGATCATTTCATTTCAGTTAATTGCTTTTCCCAGATTTGGATTTAACAGACCTGTTAGAGAACACACGTCCTCACTTGTCAGTATTACTGTCTATATTAACTCACCTTAAACTATGGAGTCTGTTTCTATGTGTTTCCTGTTGTACAGGTGGGAGAGCAGGTGTGTTATCTGTGGTTACAGGTGACACTGAGTCTCTAAATGAATGTGTTTATTTCTTTATGTCCAGCTGATGGAATATTTCTGATCCAGATGGAGAGACGAGTCTTTTCAGGAAAGTGTGTTAAACAGCTGCAGGATTTATCTTTGAGCACGTGTTCACACACAGTTACACAGTGCAGGTACTGAATTAAAATCTCATTAAAATAATAATTTAATGAATAAGAAGGGCTCAGCAGTGATGAAGGACACCACCACCTGCTGCTGCTCGGATCATTTCAAACACCTTTTAATCCACATTTAATCTTCGAGGAGTCACCATTTACAGTTCAATACAATGTTGTTGTTGTGTGATCGCCAAATTAAAAGCCCTTTCAGAAGCTGCTCCGTTTACAATTAACCAGACTTGGTTAACGCCCCCTCTGCACCTGCTGCAGGTGTGTCACGTGATGATCTCACGTTCCTGATTCAGACCTCACAGGGCAGAACCAGGTTCTCCTCAGAGAACAGAAGATGACTTCATCAGCAGGTCCACTGTGAGTGTTTGTTTCCCGCCCTTTTTAAAAACAAACCCTCAGTGTCCTGATGGATGTGAGCGATGGGGGATGGATTCTAAAGAAATGTTGAGCGAGGGGTGCGTCCCATTTCAGACGTGTCTCCTCTCTCGCTCCGATCTGCTGTTTCTTGTACGGATGATGATGATGTCATGCTCGGTTGTTGGTTTTATTGAACTGCAGATCTCAGAGAACAACATGTACCTTCCCACTGCCGCTGAAACACAGTATATCAACAGAAAATATTCATGTTCATCATTTGAATCATTTATTAAGAAAAAATACCAGACATTTGCTGGTTCTCGCTCTCCATTGTGAAGATTTAACTTTTTTTTTTGTTGTTTTCTATAAATTTAAATGTAATATTGTTGGATTTTAGACGATTGGAGAAACAAGCTCTGAGGAATATGAATTTGTTTAATTTTGAAGAAATAAAAAACTGATAAATCAACAGTAAAAACGATGTTAGTTGTTTCCCATTTCCCACAAATACCAGGAAGAAAACTGTGGACAGACATAAACTTTAATGATAATAAGATAATAATAATAATAATTTGGGATTTAAATCTGGAGGAAAAAGTCGAATTGATGGAAGAAATTATCGAAAAAGAAATTTATCGAACTTTAAAGGCATTGTGAAGGGGACACGTCTGGAATGGGACGCTGCAGACAAATGAGAGATAATTTCCTTTGAGATGTGGGGGGATAAATATTCAGATTCAGGAACGGAGCCAAAAGCCCATTTTAAGGTTTTATGATGTTGGACTGAGGAGGACTTTAAAGGGCGAACGGCAGGTGGAACAGAGCAAAGAGCATCCTGATGTACAAGCTCAAGTTTTAGTTTGGGTAGGAGGGGGGGGGGGGGGGGTTCAGCAGCTGCTAGATAATAAAAGATTAAGCTGTTCGTCTAGTTTTCCATCAATCTTGTCTTTTTTTTAATCATTTTGTTAAGATCTGCTCTCATCCAGTCACACCGGTGTACAAACCAACTGACTTTTAACGTCATCCGCTGTGTATTATAGTAAATAATAAAAATGATTTTCAGAAATGAAAAACTCTAAAACAAGTTTCTTTTTCTTTTGTTTTCTCTCCATAATGTTTCAAAATAAAAGTTTCTTTTTTTCCAAAGCTGCTGCTTAGTCTTTTTTTCCTTAACTTTGCTTTTGGTTTCATGCTTTCACCTTTTATCAATTTTAGGTTTTCAGAATAAAATCTTATTTATGATCCTATAGGTTATATCCTGTAATATTTTATATAAGATCAAATCCTACTGGATTG